ATACGTAAATAAGTTTTTAATTAATAATACGATGATAAAGGTCTAATAATAAAACAGAAAAAATATTATTATAAAATATTCAAATAAAAAAACCACAAGCTTCTAGTACTTTTGAGCCGATTCTAATGGTGCACCACAAAGAACTTTCGCTGCTTCACGCCAATTTTCTTCACGTTCATAAATATCAGCAAGAAAATTTCTATAAAGTCCAACTTGATCTTCAAATGAAATAGCTCCAGCAGCAATACATTCAAGTGCATATAATGCAACTTCTTTTGCTTGTTCAGATGACAAACGAGTTAAATATGTTGTACATAAATCCGTTAATAATTGACGTGATGCAACAAGAACTATTTTATCATCCACGACTAAATACAAAAGCAATATATAAATTAAATATAGAAGTAAAACACAAACCAGCATCAAGAAATTTTTTTAAATGATCTAGTGTTTGGACTTTTTTTGGATCTTTGATGATTTCATCGAGAATTGCTTTGAATCTAAAGAAAAATAAAATCATGATTAAAGATTATATTTAATTAAAAAGTTTCAAATTGGTAAAAAAAATTGTCAAGCAACTTTTCTCATTTCAAGAATATTAAAAAACAAATCGCTCAAAAGTTGTAATGTAGTATTATTCATTTAAGTTAAAGGCATCCTCTCCTTTCTCAGATTTTTCAAGAACAGATCTACCAAAAATGATAAAAATTTCAGGATAGATAGATCTTGTCTAGAAGAATACAAGTTGTTATAGACTTAAAATTGCAAGATGCTTCCGTCTATGAGATATACGGGACGCAGTTGCCAAAAATGATCTGAAGTTTTCCTCGCCACAACAACCAGAGTTCATTTTTAGTTGGTGAACTTTTCTTGTAACAACTAAGATCAAATCGAAGTTTATGCTGTTTTCTTCTTTGAAAAATATTGTTTCCTTCGCTCATAAGAACTAAAATACTGGAAGTTCTGTTAAAAAAGGTGTTTTTTTTTCTGGGATCGATTTTGTACGACTTGTGAAAAACCCTCAGAAAATTATTTTAAGAAAAAAAATATTTATATACACTCCGATTTGATCCTCATTGCCACAGAAAAAAGTTTCAGCTCAATCGGTCTAAGCATCCGGAAGAAAAAAGGAAAAATTTCAATTTTTCTCTAAAAAAGTTTGGGAAAGACGACAAACTTTTTTGCAATATTTCATGTTTTTCATTTTTTCATACGTAGATATCAATTAATGTACTTGCAAAGCAACTAGGAGAATGCATTGTTCACTCATAGAAAACGTTTTGATTGTGAAATAACTATTTTAGTATTAGATTATTTACTACACAAAAGACCTGTAAAACGCAAGTTTTTGTATAGAGAGCCTCTAAAGCACTTTTTTTAAGGATGTAAATAACAGTGGCAAGTTTTCGTTCGTATGCCACTCGATAGAGAACAACTTAAATGTCTCTTTAGATACCAAAAAAACAATGGAAATTGAAAAGAGTGAATTTTTCACGGTCAGGAAAGAGAAGAAGGTGTCCTTAAGCATCATGATTTAGCAAGTTGATTAGAGTAGCGGGTCCATGTTTTTATGGACCCGGACGCGGGTGGCATTAATTTTCTAGACCCGAACCCAGACCCAGGCTTGACATATACGGACCCGGATCCGGTCGGGTTCAGATCCAGACCCGACAGGGTCCAGACCCGTTAAGTATTTCGCCAATATCTAGCACCGTCTGTATATATGAACAAGTGAAGACTCATGGTTTTAGCTAATTATTGGCTATTCTCAGAGGAAAAGTT